GCCGCACCTTCACTCTGAGGCGTCTGCCCAATGACTCTATGCCTGCTGACGAAAGTTTGACAATTAATTTCTCCCAACTCTAAGACGCTGGGGCGTGGCGCTTTGCACCATTGGATAGAGCGGCTGTCGCTCTATTGGCCCAAATTTTTCCAGCTCCATGGCCTACTTTGCTGATTTTTGGCGCAATTTTAATCGGAGCTCTTTGAAAATTCACATGTTGGGTGCTAGCGAAGGTTTGGCAATAAATTGCTGGAAAACTGCTAATGGTTYCTATTTGGGCCTTGCAGGCCCAAATAGAGCAGTTCGCACTCTATGGTCAGTAAGTTGGGCGTTGTTGCCACATCATCGCAAAAAAAGTTATCCACMCTTGAATCTGWCGAGTTAGTCSAGTGAGTCWGCCTGCTAACGAAAATTTGGCAATTAATTTTTCCTAAATCCCACACGCCTGATTTTTGGGGGTTCGCGGGTTGGATGGAGCAGAGCTCGCTCTATCAGCGCCAGTTCATACAGCTCTACAGTTTGCTCTGCTGATTTTTGACGCAACATAGAGCTGGGGGCCTTTGCAGCTTGGCACTTTGCGTGCTAGCCAAAGTTTGACAATATATTCCTCTTAAATTCCCATAGATTTCTCCTAGACAGACGCATCGTTAGATAGAGCTCTCTTGTCTCTATCACCAGAAATTATTTCGGTGTCCTAGATTTATCGGGGAAATTTTGACAGAAACTTGAATCTGAAGTGTTTCTCGAATGACTCCCTGCCTAAAGACGCAAGTTTAAGTGCAAATTGCTCCCAAACTCTGGGTGCTGGCGCTTCTGCAGTGGCACTGTTTGATAGCGGCACGTTCGCTCTATCAGGAAAAAAAACTGCAAATCCACAGCCGACTGGGCTGATTTTTAGAGCCAAATGGATCGCAGATCGTTGGATTGCAGCACTTCTCGTGCGGACTAAAGATTGACTAAAAAATCCTCAAAACCCCTGCCAGAGTGGCCCTTGAGCGTTAGAGCATTGGATAGAGCCCGCGTTGCTCTATCACCACTAATTCTGCCAAGTGTGCTGCGTAATTGTCCAATTTTGTACCAAAGCATGAGTTTGAGGTGTTGGTCAAGTGACTGTGTGCCTGCTGACCAAAGTTTGGCAATTAATGTTGCTGAATGTGAAAAAGCCAAATTATTGCTTTGTCTCTGCGGTGATAGAGCATGCTTTGCTCTATCCCAGACACTTATTTCCATTGCTGTCGTAAAATCGACTGATTTTTAGTCGCAATTTCAATCCGAGGTGTTCGCTACTGGATGATGTGTCTGATGATCAAACTTTGGCAGTTCAGTAATCAGAAGCTCTATCAGACAGAGCTGTGGTTATCCACTCGTTAAGTCGCCCAGCACTCGCTCTATTTGGAAAATTTTGTCCATTCCTGCAGCGCATTTTGCTGATTTTTCTCAACAGATTGATTCTGAGCTGTTGTTTAAACTGCTGTATTTGTAATGACTCATTGTGCGGACACCCAACTTTGGCAATTTATTGCAACACCGCTAATAGGGGCAGCCACTTTTTGTTATGCCAGAATATAGAGCTGGGGCTGCTCTATCGATGAGATTTTTCCCGTTTCTCTATCGATATTTTTGGATTTTTGCAACGCAGTCATTGTGGAGTGTTGGTCGCGTGACTTTGTCTTTGTCGACTGAAGTTTGACAATTTATTTCTCCAAAACTCTGCCCAGTGGGCGTTTGCAGAGTATGGGGCTCGATAGAGCAGGGGCTGCTCTATATTAGCCGAAATTTGGGTGCTTGGGACTAGTTTGAGTGATTTTTGCCCAACATTTGAACTTGAGGCTCGCTGGATGGTCTGTGTAGGTGTGGACTAAAGTTTCATATTTTTTGCCTCCCAAACGCTCCCAGATAGAGCCGAGTGATTTGCTCTGGCAAATAGAGCTACGCTCGCGCCCTACGCCCACAATTGTTCATCCGTCCAGCTCTATTAGCTGATTTTTTATAACAATTGGGATTCTGAGCTAGTTGGTGATTGACACCTTCGGTGCTCACCTACGTTTCACATTGAATTTATCAAAATGCTCAGCAGGTAGCGCTTTGCCGGTTCCTTTCGTGGATAGAGCTGCATTGGCTCTATACGGGTCCGAAAGGGTTTTTTGACAAGTTGGTTGGTTGATTTTTTAGGGTCATTTGAATCTGAGGTTTTAGATGATTGGCTCTTTGGACGTTGAAGACATTTCAACAATTAATTTCTCCCAAACTAAATACGGCCGAGCTTTCGCAGTCACACCACTGGATAGAGCTGGACGTGGGCTCTCACACGAAAATTTTGGTGTCTCTATCCCTAGAAGGGCTGATTTTTCATAGCCCTTTGAATGCGAGGTGTTGGCTGAAGGAGCGTTGGGTTGTTTGCGCAAATTTTCGAATTATTATTTCAAATCCCCTATATGATAGAGCTTTGGGGTTAGCTCTATTGGATAGAGCCATACCTACTCTATGCGAGGCCATTTTGGGGTTTTTGCAGCTTAACTGCGTGAATTTTATGGCAATTTAAGGCGAGAGCTTTGTTGAGCGGTTTTGTGCCTGTTGGCCACCATGAATTGCTCCAATCTGCACTGAGATAGAGCCCTAGAGCTTTTACCAGTGGATAGAGCCGGGATGACTCTATGCAGACAATTGGTCCAGTTCTTGCAGCACAAATTTCTGATTTTTCACAGCAACTCGAATCTGGAGTGATCCGAAACTGGTCAATTGGCGGATGACATAAGTTTGACAATTAATTCCTCCCAGCTCTAACAAGCTAGAGCCTTGAGGGTGACACTAGTGGATAGAGCGGCTGTCGCTCTACCACCGTAAATTTTTTTATTCCTGCAGCTCCGCTGCTGATTTTTTTATGAGCATTTAAATCGTCGCTCAGACGAATGTTAGCAG